TTGGTGTAGTGTGGGTAATTTTTTAGTGTGTGTTTCCGCTGAAATGTGTGTGTTTTTTTTAAGCGTATGTTTTTCATGTCGTGTGTGTATTATTTTAGTGTGTGTATTCGGTGTGTGTGTATATATTTTTTAGTGTGTTATCGATGTAGTGTGTGTAATTCTTTTTAATGTGTGTTTTCGGTGTAGTGTGTGTAATTTTTTCTAGTGTATGTTTTCGGTGTAGTGTGTGAATATTTTTTAGTGTGTATTTTCGATGTAGGTGTGTAATTCTTTTTAGTGTGTGTTTTCGGTGTAGTGTGTATTTTTTTTTAGTGTGTGATTTCGGTGTAGTGTGGGTATATTTTTAGTGTGTATTTTCGGTGTAGTGTGTATTTTCGGTGTCGTGTGTATTTTTTAGTGTGTGTTTTCGATGGTGTGCGTAATTTTTTTTGGTCATGTGTCTTTTCGATATAGTGTGTGTAATTCTTTTTAGTGTGTGTTTTCGGTGTAATGTGTGTATTTTTTTAGTGTGTGTTTCCTGTGTAAAACCTTTTTTACAATCAAGATCATCAAAACTTAATTGTATACTATAAAACACAGATTTTAGTTAAAATTGGTGCAACGTCCAAAAAAACTATTTTATGATCAAAATTGCCAACACAGATTTTAGTTAAAATTGGTGGAACATCCAAAAAACCATTTCACGATCAAAATCACTAAAAAATGTACACTACATAATACACGGATCTTGGGTAACATTAGGGGAACGTCTAAAAACTATTTCACGATCAAAATCACCATAAACTGTATGTTATATTACACAAATTATGGGTAAATTAGTAGAACGTCCAAAAAAAATTCTTATTTAAAAAAGAAACATTGAAACCATCAGGCTGCAGTCGACAACTCCCAATCCATTAGGAAATTCCCTCCACTGCCAAACGAATATGCAGTACCACCTCTCTACCACCATATAACAACCACAAGTTCACAACCACAGCCAAAAAGCTTGCACAGATGTAACGTGGATCAAATATTTACAAAGAGAAGCCTAAAAATTCACAATCGAGGGAGAAAGAGAGATAATTTATAATAATTAATATATTCAAAAAACTCGGGATTCATCTCTATGTGAAGCTCAATACATATACAGTGTCCAAATGAAAAACACCAGCCAATGCTAATGGAAGACGGCTTCTAATCATCACGCAATAGTTACATCATACATAAAAAAACACAAATTTTACACAAAGGCAAACACCCTCTATTATACATGGAACCACCAAAAAAAAAAACCGACTCGTTATAATCTGACCAATCGTGTATGGTCCTTCACAAGTCATCTTAAAAATAGAGACTAAGAAAAAATATACTTAAAATGAAGCCCAAAAAAAAAACGCAAACTAAGAAAAAAAACGCCTCAAGAAAGTAATGATAACACTGACTGACTACCTGTTTCTCATGTACAGAGGACATCTTTCAGAAATCCATTAACCCAAGTATACGCCTTTTCATTCTCATTTTCCAAAGGCTTCTCAAGTGTATAATGCCTCTTCAAGCCTATGTGGAATCGTGCTATATACAAATCACTGGACAGTTCAGCACAAGCCTCGACGAAGGATCTAGAAACTAATCCGGATTTAATCTAAATCCAAGCTAGAGAACCTCGGTCATTAGTAACTTGAGGACGGCCTCTAGTAGGTGTAGGTGGCCGATTAGCATTGAGCTCCTAAATTTCAAATAAAAAAATTGAGGAAATATAATAAAAAAATTAATAAAAAAAAAGGCGAGAAACGTGATCAATCTCAGCACAACATAGAATTAAATGCCAAAGGTAGGAAATAAAGGTAGCACCTGCATCCACGTGTCTTCGATAAGGCGTTCAGGAGATGTTTCTGGAGAGGAAATTGCAGGGGGCAATGGATGAATGAGTTTTGGTACAACCACTAAATCTCTACCCAAAACCAAGATAGCACCAGCGTTATTTGCGGTACCTGGAGGAAATTATTATAAGAAAAACTCTTTTAATCAACTTCCAAACGATGGCAACCAACAACTGAATGCAACATAATTAGATGAATGTTGGTAAATTAGGACATACCGCAATAGTTTGTGGCTGAAAAGAGAGTAATTAAATGTCCCTGAGCAAATCTTTCGAATCCATCCATTACGCATTCATGTGCTCGAACTATCAACTGAAGGTCATTGTTGTTGCAGAATTCCATCACACGATCAGGCTATAAGACAAAGAAGCTTCGATGAATCATAAAATCCGAATCTTAATCATAAGCAATTGAAGGAGATAATATAATATTCAATTGTGCCGTCTCCTCTCCTCCACAACCAGCAGTCTCAGCTTCTCTCTTCCGCAGCAAGTGGGTAGAGATTACGAGTCAGCTTATGACAGTTTAGTGTTTTGCTAAATCGACTCAATGTCATTATAATATTATTAGCTTTAAGAAATGAAGGGCTCTAAGTAGTGTCATTAAAGTATATGATAGAAATTAAGGAGAGAGAAAGACGAGAGCAAAAACCCACCCCAAAGGTTACTAACCCAGGACCTCTTGCATTTGGACGCAATCCTTCTACACTGTCATTTTCAGTGGGATCAGACCTACAAGGAAGCACTCTTATCAATAATACAACTTGAAGAAATTAAAGAAGAAACGGAAAAAAAATGAGAATAAATACGCACTAACCACAACAGGTCCATAAGAACAATCGATCCCGCTTCCATAGCAATTGGACGCTGAATATTTTCAATCTGTTCTACATGGTTTATTGATCTCCCAATACCACCATGCATACATATAATTTTTTTCTCAATTAATGCAGCCAGAGGAAGCCAGTTGAACAATCTGTTTATTCGGTGCCATGTCCATATTCCATCTCTCTCCCCCTATTCGGGAAACAATCATAAGTCTACAGCATCGCCCAAATAAGAAAGCAAAAACTAATTTAACTTCATATTTACCATACGCTCAATGCACTCAATTCGAAAGCCAAACAGAGCATTGATATCTGCAGCTTCATGATTACCGCGGATTAAATGTACTTGATGTGGGTGTTCGACCTACATATCCACGATTAACACAAAGACAAATATTTTACCAGTTCTGTCATAAAGCACTACAACAAGAAAATGTCGCATTACGTAAGAAATGGACAGATACCTTCAAAGCAAGGAGAAGACTGATTGTTTCCATACTGTGCTGGCCACGATCAACATAATCTCCCAAGAAGAGGTAATCAATATATCTGATAAACATTTACACAAATAAGCATCACACAAAAGCAAACAAATCTGATAGCAAACGCAGTTCAAGTCAAACAGCTATATAGGACCCATGACATTATTTTTCTGCAGAAAGGTGTGTGTGGGACTTGAAATCAACGTTGATCCTGGCAATAATTACGATATGAATACTGTGAGTTTAGAAAAGTAACACTTGATCATAGTAATAGCTATCCTAATGATACTCCAAGAATCCTCCTATAATATGACGAGAATTAACATCTATCTGGGAGTGAATAGTGGAATCTTTACTTATGATCTACAATTCATAACCATGTCTCAGAAGATAGGCCATGTTTTTTAGTGCCACAAATAGACTTAACTGGATTTAAAGTAGTTCCAAAAAAGCCTGAAAGCATCTACAATAATTATGTAGTGGATAACTTTTTGCACAACCACTAGTAATCATTGTAAAATAAGAAGAAATATTCAGTAGAAGAATAAAAGACCTCCACTAGCATGGCTTACAGTCAAAGTAGCAGAACAACAACTTAGTCACAAAATAACAACAAGGTAAAGATACTAAAGCATGCAATAACACTAGCTGATTTGAATGCTTACGCTATATCCCCTGCAGTAGAAGGTGATCCATACTCGTCAAAAAGGCGCATAAGATCTCCAAACTGACCGTGTAAATCACCAAATATCTTAATGGGAGCCTTCAGCTGTAGTACACTAGGTTCACTTGCAAATATTCTTTCAGCACAGTCACAAAGATCAGCGATCTCATTGCAATCCAAGAAAAATTGTCTACGAACTGGAGGCTTCCAACCACGAGGTTTCAGAAGATGAGCTATAACCTGGGAAGGAAGCAGTCGCATGAGGCCAAGACTTGGAAAATCCAATTAGTATTATTAATGAATATATATATAGGAACTCTCATGTTATCTAGTTAAGCAAACCGAGATTTTTTGGTTGTGTAGTTAAATGTTACATTTGAAACGATAAGAGAATTAATAGGAACGTAGAAATATAACCCTGGAACTGATTTCTTGCACACTCATTTTAAAGAATCAAGCTCTTCCTACAGTGTCAAAGTACTTGAATTGCCACAGTCAACCTGATTGGCCGTGCAAAACAACAGTCACTGGAAATTCAATTCAGCACTCAACACTATTTATTTATCCTAATCACAGTGAAATCATATAAATACTGTCTCCGTTCTGATCTTTGGAACCCCGGTTAATAGAATACAGTGCTACGACAGAGGAGAAAAAATACCTTCTTAGCCACACTATGTATTGACATCTGTCGATCTAAAAGTTTCCTAGCGGCTGTTGCACTTTCTGGAGTTCCATAGCTGACCCGTCTGCCTTCATTTTCGAATTGGTCAATTGAAAGCTGTCTGACCATACCGCCTAAAGCACCACCAGTCTCTGCAGCTACAACGACCTGCAGATGTATTGGTAGAATTAATAAAACCTCTTAGCAACCTCGACTTAGGGTACTGAAGTAGTATATCTCTTTTCAGATACTTACAGCACGATGGTGTAGCCGAACTCCAGCTGGGACAGAATTATTTGGCGCAGCAGAATCAGGTTTGATCTGCGTAGAAATTTGTTTTCCACTTGATGTTGCCTCTGCCCCACGATCTCTGTCTGGCAGCTCAACTTCTCCATTAACTCGTCGAGCTTTAGCAGCTGCTAATGCAGCAGTAATAGCCTCAGCTTCAGCTGCAGATGCCTCAACTAAGTACTCGACACCTTTGCTGAGTGCTCTGTGCATAATATCATACTTAGTAACAGAACTTGAAGCAACCAACATAGAAATTAGTGCACACACCAATTAGAGGTAACATAGAGATTTACCTGGAACCTTGGAGCATCGCATTTTCTGTGCTTATATCTGTATAAATATCGCCATTTACAGGGGGAGCAACCGGACTTCCTACCACAACTGCACCATCAGCAGCAGGATCAGGTATAGATGCCCTGGTTCTGTCATCGGTAAATCCATATCTGCCCTGTAACCTCCCTTGATCCAAATTAGATGCAGCAGCTGCAGCAGCTGCATG